TAATTTTTTATATAAGCAAAAGTTTTAATTCTTTTATTGAGATGACAAAATAGTTTGTATTAACACTGTTAATTGTCATGGAAAGATTTTGTTTCGGTTATCAATAAATACTCAATTATGTATTAATTGTTGAGTAATAATAAAAACAATTGTTGTGGAATAATTTGAGGGGGTAAACGAACGTAAACAAAGAGTCTTGTTGAGTGAAGCATGAAACGCGATCACTTGGAGCTGGGGTAAAAAAAAGGGCGTTGAATAATTTGCGCAACATAATTGGAGTCCATAAATATTCATCGGTTCACCATACGGTCATCTTAGGGCATGAAAATTAAATTAAGGAGAGTCTGCTTCAGCGATATTCATGCGGCACATTGAATCTTGCAGATAGTAAAAAAAAACGAATAAGATGTAAAAAATTCCTTTGCCCAACGTAACTGACAAAGTCCGATTTTCGGAAGCGTCTCGAGAGGAGGGAAAAGCTATGGAAGCAATAGGTTAGATGTAAAGTCGCGTTTCCGTACCAAAGAATCGAAATTCTCAGATATACGTATAGAAATATGCTGTAAACGTGGAAGATTCCAATACCTAATACGATTCGATTACTCACGTCGATACGTTTAATATTTCAATCGGAAAAATGTTTCCGATATGTCGAAGACGTTTAGCGACAACATCCTTGGCCGGAAATCCGGGTCGAAGCACACTCACTATCTGCATACGCATTCCGCGCGGCTCACGCAGCGGGGAATCCCCATAGCACGTGAAAATTTATATATTCTCTTTCAGGCCAGAAAACAGCACCTAAATCTTTATGCTTTATACCCGTGACAACCAACCAGGTTTCCTACTCACCCGTTCCATACGTTTCACCCTCGCTCTTTTTCATCACCCCCCCACAACCCCCAGCGTTACCGCATTCCCAATAACTTCCGGAAATGAAATCGTATCTCAACCCGATGCGACCAACAAAAAAAAACATATATTTATATGCGTAGTCGTAGTCGTAAAGTTGCGAACGGTCGACTACAATTAAATATTCGGTTTATGTACATCCCTTCAAAAGGGTTCGTTTCTAATTAAAAATCGACGCTTCCCCAAACAGATTCAACTTATTGCCCTTTTCGTTAATTAAAATAATAATAATACAAAAATTTTGATACAACGAAATAAAATTTATACAAAACAAATTAAAAAGTTTGAAATTATTTCAAGATATTTTTAATTCGTTTAAATTTAATAAAATTTAATTAGAGATTTTTGTAAAAAAAAATAATAATATTTACTTCATGAAGTAATTTTTGTATGAAAAAAAAAACAGAATGATTTTTGACAAATTCTTCTTCAGTGTAAGGATGCTTTGATTATACGCTGATACATTGTCTGATTGATTGAAGATAAGTTTCAAAATCACTTGCTTCCTTTTGGATCAAAGTGAAAGATGAATATACCGAACTTGATGAAATCGCGCTGAAAACTCTTCTCCCACTTCCCTTTTGTGAAATTGATTTTTCACCCATAAGTGTTATTAAAGTATTTTTTTTTTCAAATTTTACAAGATTTATAGGGTTATAAAAGGACTTCTTCCATCGAGGCTAATTGAAATGTGAAATGTGAAAACACTGCTTTTTCGAACGTTCTAATTTCATTTTTCAACTTTGAACGTTCTAATTTCATTTTTCAAAGAAACATGAATATCCCGAACTTGATGAAATCGCGCTGAAAACTCTTCTGCCATTTCCCTTTTGTGAAATTGCTTTTTCACCCATAAGTGTTATTAAAGTATTTTTTTTTTTCAAATTTTACAAAATTTATAGGGTTATAAAAGGACTTCTTCCATCGAGGCTAATTTTCCAATTATTAAGGGAATTCAATTGCATCAATAAAAAAATGTGTATACGGTGTATAAAGAATTTATGAAAATTAATTATGTTCGTTTCGGGTGATTGAATTTCGATGGGAGACGTGGGGTGGCGACATTTTACCCGCTTTAATTAAACAAGCTGGAAGTGCAATCTAAGTTAACTATTCCATTATTGGCGGCGCCTTTTGGAGGTAATTAAAATTTGTCCCCGACATCGCTGTGGTCGGTATTCTTCGAAGGGGTGGCGGTGTCCGGATTGATTCCTCCACAGAAGGATCCTCCACGGCGAGCATCCATAAATATTTCAGCGTGGTTTTAATTGCACGTTTGTCGGGGGCCCGGGTAATTAATATGTACATAAAATATGTGGAACTGGCG